TGGGGGGGGGGGCAGGGGAGGAGGAACAGTCAATAAAGCATTATAGGATATCTATGTTTTCAAAACCTATCCAGTCGCTTGAGTAACAGTTAGTTTGGCATCTTATCATCTAGATGCCAAAGCTTCATCGTAATAACGTAACGCGAACTGACCTTTTTTTACCTTCACAGAAGGAATATGAAAACATCGTTTTTGCTTAGTTTCTTCTTCTTCCGTTCCAAACAAATGAAGCCAGTGACATGGTGGGAGGGATTCGCCAGTGTGGCGTATTCGGCTTTGTGCGACAGGGGCTTTAGTTAGGACTCTCTAATACTTGATAAAACCGCTCCGAAGGTCATCCCTGCTACAGTCTGATGGAGACAAATTCCCAATTTCCCGGGAGGAGCCCTAAATCCTCTCGGTCCGCCGGCGGTGTGGGACACCTTCTCATCGGGCCATCCGTCTTGATGATCCCGTGTGTCAGCGGCGGGGAGAAGCCGGCGGACCAACCCCGACACAAGTGTGATGAAGCGCGCTCAATCACAGAACTGACGCAGAGGCAGGGATCAAGAGGGATCACCGGCTCCGAATGGAGGGGTAAATGAAGCAAAATTGACCGACTACGCAGTTCAGAAAGGGTTAGGTACCGTCGTTTTGTGGCAAAATGGTCTGAACATTTCATCAGCGAACGCTAACATTGATTGACTGAACATAAATATATGCAGAATGTCCGTTCAAGCCCCTGCCACACATTTAGAGCCTTCCCCCAACCATCAACTATTGGCTGAGGTTTATTTGTTTATTTATTTGTTTATTTAGTATTTGCACGTATACAAAAGTTACATAATCAAACAATAACAATAAGAGAATATGCGGGGTAGGCCAGAAACCTAGGTGGTTTTTTAAAGGGCCTACCCCAAACAAGGGAAACTATGATACATGATTAATACATGATCAAAATTAAACAGAAATAATTGATTAATTAAACAAAATCAAGACACAGAAATAATGGTTCCGAGGCAGTCTGACCAGATTTAGGCCACGCCTACTTTTCTATACAGATTGACTTTCATTTGATTTAAATTTGAGTAAGATTTGACTCCGAACCTCGTCCAGACCACTTCTGCCCTACTCCCAACCACCAACCAACCATAGCCCAACCTCCCGTCCATACTTAAACGTTTTAAACAGTTTGAAACATTCGGCTGGACTCAGTGTGCCTACGACAATACCAAAATACAACATTTTCTTATCATCTGCATCAAAAATAGTGTAACTCAATATGCATTAATATTTACACCACACATATCTGGCGAAAAACATTTTGAAAAGCAAACAGTGTTTATAGTCATCGTAATTTTGTGCAACTGCAAGACTGTAAAAATTTATTTTGTTTACTACATGTAATCACGATAATTTTACATGTAAACACTGTTTGCTTCTCAAAACAATTTTTTTACCCGGTTGAAAACCGGTTGTCACTGTGACGTCACCAGCAGAATATATTAGTAGCTAACATTTAATTGAATTAGAAATCGAGCTAGTCCGAGATGGAAGTATAATTCTTGATGGTTTGATGTTCAATACCTTCAAAAGAGTGTATGTGTGGTGTAAGTCTTTACGTTTATTGACTTACACTATTTCTTATGCAGACGATGAGAAAATGTTTTATTTTGGTGTCGTAGACACTTTAAATAAGACGTGACAGCCCAGCATACAGTAGTACATATCCTATGATCTGTAGTTTTCCAAATTAACTCACTTGCACTCAGCGTGTTAATTGCATTAGGTGGAAATTTTGTTATGTACAGATTTACAGTCATACCCATCGGGCTTAATGGCCTTTTATGCGACCGAAACATCGCAAAACTGCCCAGCTACTGTAATGGTTCTAAAAAAGAGATCATAATTGGGTTTCCAAAGCCCTAACGCATTGGAGGATGTAGCGGTAATGTGAAAAGGGGTGACCAGGGTGACATTTAGATCTAGCACCAGGTGGTGTTGAAATGACGCGTGCGGGGACGATGTAGTCAGGGTCAGCGGGCCTTGATGACTCTTTCTGCCGCCCAGATTCAATAGCGATGAACGGTGCGATCAGTCAAAGCCGTTACTGTTCCGATGATATCTTTTGGACCATCTTTTGGCCGCGCGCCTTCCGCTGTTGACTGAGTGTAAGGTCAGCGCACAGGAACACTGTAGCCTGGTGTCCAGTAGTCTATCGCAGTTGGGGTGGGTTCTCTTCGGGGCTGCAGAAGCTCTTCCCCGCCCGACTCAGCTAGGCGTGCAAAACTCTCACAGGCGTACCACAGCTGTGGAGCTGGACGGGGGAAAACTGTAAGAGCCACGAAAACAGCCTGTCCCAACCACGATAGACTTGATACCAGGCTAGAATATTGTAGATAGTCCACAGTATCTACAGTCGACCCACACTTCCTGACACATACGCCCACCTATGAGGGTCTGCATGCCTTTTTTCCATAATGCGTAGCGAACCATTTTTAAAAAAAGGTCAAATTCAATGTCAGGGCGGCACAACTGGAATTTATGACTCAATTTTTTGGCATTTCTTCGATGCATCACACAAGAACAACTTAATTTGCCCTTAATCGTTGCCGACCCTCCTCCATTCACCGTTAAGCGCTGCCAGGGTCCCCCCATGCAGACCCTCATCTACTAGACCGTACCACAGGGCAGTGACTGGGCCCGGTGGTGATTAGGCCCCTTACGGCGATTGCTGAGCGACCAAAATTGGATTTGATTGCTACCCTTCATTTCATAATTATGAAATCAAGAATAATATGATGCACGATGTAAAAGTATGACTCGAAAAGCAACAAGGAATGCTTTTTAAAAAGCAGACCGTGGCCAATATGGGATTATTATGAGTGCATATTTCTACAAATGTATTTTTGTCCTGTGGCACTGGCAAATATAATGCACAATTTGACAACTTTTTTACAATTTGACAACAATTTTACATTATGGTCGAAAACTTCTTGTTTGGAAACGGCCGAAAATCCATGCGCACGCGTTTGTCATCCATATAATCAAATCAACATGGCCTAATTATGAGATATTTGATGGACGGCCCGTCAAATATTTGACCGTTCAAGGGTGTGTGAAGGGGGATGTTAGTGACAAGTGTTGGCTGAAGGAAAGTCATGCATATAATTAAGGAAAAAGGTTTCACCTGAGGAGCCGGCACCTGAAGACTGGACAAGAGGTTCAGCGGGAGGATCTACATGTACAAGACGTGGGATGAGGAAGGAGTGAAAGTTTCAAGAATATAGAAAGATTGTGAGACAGTCGGGATTTTTTTTCAACATGTCAGGAGATTTTTTTAAGCCCGTGTCAGACATTCACGAATTTGGACTCTCGACCACGGTTAGAAGTGGGCTACCGTAGTTTGGTAGCAACGATGTTGATTTGATTTGATTTATTAGGCTGAATAGAACATATGTATACAGCCAGGACTGCCCAACTAGCCGGAGGCTATTATAAAGGCTAGCCCTCACAACAAGAACACAAACAATTCGAAACAGGTAGCAGTAGATGTTCGACCATGGTTGGCTGATATTCGGCTGTAAGACAGCAGAACACCAACCAACCATTCAGAAGTAAGTCAGTAGTGTTATATAGTGGGATAAATTTGACTCAAAAGCAACTCAATTTCGTTGCGATTCCTATAGGAAGGTAGGCGTGGCCTAAATTTGGTCAGAATGCCCCCGCACGTCGGCTGGTGTTCGGGAACTAGCCTCCTTCGCAGTCTTATTGGGCTGCATACTCTCGGCCGCATATTGCTCGTGTCGCTCACAGAAAAAAATAACGCCGACGCCCAACAAGATCGACTGCGAAGGAGGCTATTCGGGAACAAATTTTGGGAAAGGTCGTGAATGTGTGACAGGGGCTTTACTGGACAACATGACTCCGGATGTGTCAGGCAACAGCTTACAAGTGGCGGCCAAAGAAAAGCTGGTAGTGATGACAGCCGCGCAGAGCTGTCCAGGACTTTTTAGCAGCCGCATGCATGCATTCATCCACGCCCGGCATCACATGCACGATTTTATCTAATATAACACGGTGCGTGCAGTTTTCATTCATCTCAATCTATCTAAATCACATGCCACTCTCATGCACCAATGCATCGCTATGTGACCCCCCCCCCCAATACAGCGACGCTGGCAGACTTAAAGTTTTACGTCCGTTACACTATGTTTAGGCACGGTCACATTCGTCGTAGAAACGTCGTACGTTCGTCGTAAGACATCGTACCTTCGTCGTAGGACGTCGTAAGATTTCAATGTTGAGGGTTTTTCATGGAAGCTATGGCAGAACCAACCACTGACACCGATCCTAGACAGTTTTCTCTCTACAAGAATAAAGCCGAAGTTTGTGCGACATATGCACGACATTATGTTATTCATATTTTGCTATCGTGAGGCAATCGTACGACGTACGTGACCGTGCCAAGACGAGTAAAAAAAAGAACGTGTACACTTCTTCAGATACTATCATGAAAGTTCATCTGTGTTGGTAGTTACATGTTTAAATTTAAAACTTTTGGTCCAACACAAAAAATTCTATCACCTAGAGCTTTCGACCAGTCACTCTGGTCTTCCTCAGTAGACTGACCCAGTGAAGCTAGAAGAGAGGTGTGAAGGAAGCCATATACATCAGGGCCCATCATCCTACATTGAACCGCGACGGGGGCCGACATCGTCTACCAGATACCTTTGACCCAGTGTTGACGTCACACTTCAAAGAAGCCACGTGACAAGCTTCACTGGGTCAGTCTACTGAGGAAGACCAGAGTGACTGGTCGAAAGCTCTAGGTGAGAGAACTTTGTTGTGTTGGATCAAAAGTTTTAACTTTAAACACTTCTTCAGATACTTACAGAGGACTTCCATCTGGATGAATTCCTTCTGAGGCTGGTCTAGCGCGGGATGGTCCACCTGGCAGAAGTACTGCTGTCCCTGGTCGTACCTCGACAGGGCGACGATCAGATCGCTGATGATGTTGAAGGTCCCGTCGTCTCTGTCCTGGATCAAAGTGCCGCCCTGGTCGTCGTCATCGTCGCCTAGCCCACCGGAAATCAGCTGACTGCCGTTGTACCAGGAGAGCGTGGCTTCCGGCTTGCCGCCCTCGGAGGTGCACCGCGCCACGACCTGTCTCTTGTTGTCGGCTTCCAGCGGCGGATTGTAGCTTGAGATGGAGGGAGGGTTTGGGGCGACTGCGTGGACGGAAAGCGAAAAGTTAGACAAACGTAACAAGCTACGTGCAATCCTAATAATCCTAAATGCAATACAACCTTGACCACTGGTATCGTAAAAGGTTGTACAATTCAATTTGCTCTTTTCATCCCATATTAAAGGCATCCAGTTTCAGGACAGGAAAACTGGATTTCAAAGTCAATATTTCGGTCTTTTTTTTTTTAATGTAGTAAGCTGAATCAGCCCTATCTCATAGCATACTGATATCTGTGAGGCAAAAATACGATGTCGCTGGTGGAAAACGGTTGCTTGTTTTGTATCGTAGGCGGGTTCCAGCTATTTATGGGAGGTACCCTTAAATAAACACTTCTCACGTAACTTGTTTTGGTGATATTTCAACCGCTTCAGGTATGAAATGATGACAAAAATGTGCTAAGAAAAGGCAATAAATTTCAGTATCAGACAGACTATCTTTTCTGTTTTGCTGCCCTGCAATTGCATTGGATGCCTATAAGAGTTCCTTGAAATAAACCTATAGCAAAAATTTAGCAGTTATCTCTTTTCACATCAACAATCGCATGAGTGAACCTTCCGTCGAATCAGCGCAGCCGAATGAACAGCCAGCTAATATCTGAACCCTTGCCCTCTTGTATGAGTCATTGCGACGCCATTTTACGCTACTGAAGTTAGTTCCTATTCTTACTTCCGCCCTGGATGAACCCGTTTTCCCCAAAGACCCGTTGGAATATTTGATTTACTTGCTCGTATTTACCTTCCGAACGTACTTATGAGAGTGATACACGACTCTTTCAAGATGTTCACTGGAGTGAACTGAACGAAATGGCTGCTCTCAAAGGGCTGGGAATGAAGGGTAACTACATACGCGGCACGGCGAGATTGGGCAGTAAGTCAACTACACCGTTATAGAAAAGTTAGCTTCAGATTCGAAGCTATAAAAATTCCAGGCAGCTGTCTTCGGGTTTCGTGCTAAGGAAAATATTGGATCAGAGGGCGTAGCGGCAATAGGTGCGGGGATTTTGCACGCTGTTTGGGGATTTTTGCGACGTATTGCCTACTATCTATTGGAATGAGGCAGAGTTAATATTCTCTGGTGGCAATAATTGTGACATTGCATTCTTCGGGAGCACTGCTGCCTCTCTAGATCTTCTTCCATAATCTTTGAAAGAGCTGGGTAAAATATCACCCTTTAAAGGAATGCAATTTTAGGGCGGAGAACGTGTATTTTTAAAGTCAATTTTCTGGTCATGCTTTTAATGTAGTAAATTAAAACAACCCTATTCCAGAGCATACTGATATCTGCGAGACAAAATTGTGATGTCGCTGGCGGAAAACGGTTGCTTGTTTTGCATCGTAGGCTGTATCCCAAAAATAAGGGGACGGGCCACTTGTTTCAGGGTTATTTCAAACGCTTCTAGTATAATGATAAATGGTGACGAAAATGTGCTAAGAAATGGCGGTAAATGTTTCATGATGTCAGACAGATTATATTTTGTTTGATTTGATTTGATTAGTTTGCACATAAACAAAACAGACAATAATAATACAAAACAAGGATAAAACAAGTGCAGGAGGAGGGAAGAAGCATGGACTGCTTATACAAGGCCCTCCTCCTCTAAACTATACAAAATTAAATATAATCAACAAATGGAAATGTTTCGCCCTGAAATTGCATCCAATGCCTGTATTAAAAAGCGTACAAATAGCAAATCACTGTCACCACGTCGTTGCCATTTGTATTCCTTTAAAAACGTTGATATTTTCCAGTGTACCAAAGATTATGACAGGAGATCCGGAGATGCCCTTTGTAATTGAATGTAATCCTAGTCTGCTATTTCTCAAGATCGCATGCTACTGCAAACGCAGTTACCTTCGCGATGGTTTTATTAAGGAAAAAGAAGTCTTCGCCATGTTTGAAGTTCGCGGTTGAGACAACTCTTGTAGTACAGTAAAATTGTAAAAAAAAATATAATCTATACGTTCCTATGATTTCGCGGAAAGACGAAATAAGTAAACTAGATAAGTAACATATGCAAAGCAAATGCATAATGTTTACCTTCAGACATGGTCTGCTCTGTTAATTCTTACTCCAACACATTCACATACATGTACTACTAGTATATGGTGACAGGAGCAGAGCAGACCGTGAAATTGCAACATTATGTAACCCAACACCAGTCACCATGGTGACAGACATCAGCAAATCATGTCATTGGTCAGGTCATTAGTCACTGTTTGGAGAAGAAGAGGAAGAAACTGAGCAAAAACAATATGCATATGTTTTCCTTCAGTAAACATAATGAAACCACCGAGAAGGTTTCTGTTTTTACAGTATAAGCTCCTCCACAAGCGACACGTTTATACATAATTCATATTTCCGATGATGAGTCACTTGTTTGATCAGGTTGTGCTAATGGGCCATGGGAGAGACTCAAGCAGCCAGATGAAGCACAATCACGGAGATTTCCTATTATGGGGCCATAATCAGACGGTAAAATACATTTGACTAATTGACGAGTGCAGCTTCTGGTCTAGATTGATTAGGGACACGCCGTGTTATTCATCACATATGTGGGTGGATGCCATAACCTCCTCTCTGCACTGCGGAGGATAACGAATCAGTTTATAAGATTTCTACTCCTGGAGGAAAATTAATTTATCCGATGGAATTTCAGCATGGCAAAACAAAACAAAATATTCTGGATGAGGAAATCTGTCTGATATATTGACATTTACTGGCATTTTCTTAGACATTTTTATGTCATTTCATACTCGAAGCGTTTGAAATAGCACAAAAACAAGCTATGTGTGGCGTCTCTTTATCTTTTTTTGCTACCACCAATAAGTAACTAGAGTCAGCCTATGATACAAAACAAGCAACCGTTTTCCGTCGCATTTTTGCCTCACAGATATCAGTATGCTATGGGATAGGATTAATTCAACTTTAACTACATTAGAAGAATGACCAGAAAATTGTCTTCAGTCTTGCTCTCTCCTTTAAGGAAAATTCATGACAGGTTTAGGATAATGTTCTTATGTAGGAGGAGAACAAATTGCATCAGAAATTCTGGCAACCCTCCACGGATCTGTCCTTCGCCTCACAGTTTGGTTTCCCTTCAAGGAACACAATAACGTGGTATTGATTTTTGCAAAGCGTTTGAAGAAGAAGATGGAAACACCTTCATTGTGCTTCGTGATGAAGGGAGGTCTCATGTTTGCTGTTTATTCTCATGTGTTCTCGTTAATCTCAAAGCAGATCTTTTGGTGATTATGCAAGGCAGTATCTAATTGATCAAACTGCATCCATCTGCCAGGCAGTTACCATTTAGGCTGGAGTAAAAAAAAATCCAGTACAAAAAAGAAAGTTAAAAAACGCCTATAATCACGCCAAAAAATAAGCCAAAGCCTAAAACTCTGTTAATCCCAAAGCAGATTTTTTGGTGACTGCAGGACAGTATCGAATTGGCCAGGGAATATCCATTTGCCAGGCTGTTGGCAGTTACCATTTATGCTGGCGTAAAAACATCAACTAGGAAAAAAGGAAGCCCTAAAAACGCTTAGAATCACGCCAAAAATAAGCCAAAGCCCAAACCTCTGTTAATCCCAAAGCAGATTTTTTGGTGACTGCAGGACAGTATCAAATTGGCCAGGCTGTATCCATTTGCAAGGCAGTTACTTTTTAGGATGTCGTAAAAAAATCCACTACAAAATGAAAAAAAGCCCGAAAAAAAAAACTGAAATCACGCCAAAAAATAAGCCTAAACCTCTGTTAATCGTTTCATCCTCAAGCAGATCTTTTTGTGACTGCAGGACAGTATCAAATTGCCAGGACAGTTTAGGCCTGGCAATGTGCATTTGCCAAGAAGTTACCATTTAGGCTGTCGTAAAAAAAAACATCCACTACAAAATAAAAAAGAAAGCCCGAAAAAAACCTGACATCACGCCAAAAAATAAGCCATAGCCTGAACCTCTGTTAATCGTTTAATCCCCAAGCAGATCTTTTGTTGACTGCAGGACAGTATCAAATTGGCCAGGAAATATCCATTTGCCAGGCAGTTACCATTTAGGCTGTCGTAAAAAAAACATCCACTACAAAGAAGGAAGCCTGAAAAAACGCCTAAAATCAAAATAAAACATAAGGAAAGCCTAAACCTCTGCTTGGAGAGTTTATTTTTGCACCTTGGGAACTGTTGATTTGTTTATCAACGTTAACACATTACATTTGCAAATTTTCCACGGGGATTGATGATATTCTCATGAATATTTAATGTAAAGATGTACATCGGTAAGCGGTATTGTGAATGCACTGTCCAGAATTCAAGTGATCTTTGATCATTTGTTGTTTTACATAGATCAAAAGCCGTGACATGTATAGACATACTCTCAAATGTTTAGGTTTTGGCTTATTTTAACGTGTTGTTTAATAGGCATTTTTATCAGACTTTCTTTTTTGTACTGTTTTTTTTTATTTCGTCAGCCAGATGTGGTGGCAAATGATGTATACTGCCTGGCCAATTTCATACTAGCAGCTACCAAAAAAAATGTACTTGGAGATTATAAAAACAAAACAGTCATTACTACCCATTTTATATCTGCGTCCATAGATTTTTTACCTTGTTTACACTTAATTGCAGTAGTATAAAAATCCATAATCATGTCAACTGATATTGTATTAAGGCCACACCAAGTAAATATTATGGATGACGTCCTTTGGAGATCCTAAATCTAATGCGAGAGGGCGAAAAAAAAACAAGAAGGGCCATAAAAAACAAGATGCCTAGATTAGAAATATACTAAGAGACGACAAATGTTAGGACACAACTTGAATGAGGTGACACAGTGTAACAAGCAAGAAGTCTTTCATTCATCATCAAAACAGTAATAAATCAGGTGGAACAGCAGTTGTTGTCCTGTCCTGTTTCTTTCATCACATTTTTGTGCCCTTTACCCATTTCGCGTTACGGGTTTCAGGTCAATCTGACGATTTGCGGCACTGTCGTGACTCTTTGGTCATAGTTACAGGAAGTGGAATTTCTTGTTTTTTTTTCTAGGAACAGGCCAAAATCAATGCGCGCGCGGACGTCATCCATAAAATTTACTTGGTGTGGCCTAAAAGACGATTGGCGAACGATCAGAACACACTAACCAAACAGTATCATAAATAAAGAATGGGTTCGAACAACAGCTCATTGACAAAATACGGTTAATTGTTACATGATAGCTGTGTAAGATAAAAGCACAGAAAGATTTAAGAATGTCCACGTAACTTGAAATATATCAAACACGATCCTTGTAATACTATATGTACATGTGTGTGTGTCAAAAAACAGTTGCAAACAAATGCCATGTTTGCGACGAGGCAGACTGCATATTTTATCGACTCAGAAAGAATTACCTAAAGGTCCCTCCGGGGCAGAGCAAATGTCTGCTATAAGAATTGATGAAGCTTAGCGACAAGATGGAGCAAAGAATCTTTTGCCCTGGAGGTTTCTCAGTCTTCCGTCTTATGAATACTAAACGTTAAACAACCAGACTGTGCTAAGTGGTTCCCTGGATGGTGCTTACGATGCTCTGTTCTCCTTTCATGATAAACTTTGCATAGAATTGTCTTTAGGCCACACCAATTTAATTTGTTGTTTCTCGGATTTTTTTCAGAAAAAATCAGGAGCGACAGGGCGAAAAAAAAGTTGCTTTAATTATGATTTAAACGTGGTCAAGAAGGTTGAACAAATGACACAGAGTATGGTGTGGCGAATAATCTACTCTTCAAATTCATTTCTTTACATTCTCGTCTTTTTTGTTTGATTTTGGCATTCTACAACATTGGTATCGTTTCTAAATATTTTTTTGATCTCACGGTATCTCATTTTGCAACTGTTTTGTATGATTTACAGAATGATTGAATTTTTGTTTTGGAAATGGCAAAAAATTCATGCGCGGATGTCATCCAAAAAATGAAATCAACATGGCCTCATGAAATCAACATGGCCTAATCATAATGATAGAAAGACCATATTGGACACACACACACACGCACGCACACACACTCACACGCACACATACACATTCATACACACACACACACACATTCACACACACACATTCGCACAGACACACACACACAGTCACACACACACAGTCACACAGACACACACACACAGACATTCACACACACACACACACACACACACACACACACACAAACACACACACAAACAAACACACACACACACACACACACACACACACACACACACACACACACACACACACACACACACACACATACACACACGCGCGCGCGCACACACACACACCAGTCCCA